AAAAAAAAAAAAACAAGCAGACAGTAGTTACTTACATTCTTCTCAGCTTCTTTGTATGTACAAATATATTATGAAGCCACTGAAATAAACATTATGAACGATCACTGCATATGAGGTATTCTCATGCTTGTTAGAAATTTATAGTATTAGCAATGTGAGCTCAGTATGATCGAATTTAGTCCTTAGTGCCGCCAATTTCAGTACTTTTGTGCTTAAGACTGGAGTCTAATAAATGTACATTCGATGATAAATACGATCGAAATGACAGATCTTGTCATAGTTCTGTATAACAAATCTGTTTCATTGATCCAATAAAACAGTGATCAGAGGACAGGATGATATGCTTGGCTAAAAACTAGCTGAGATGATTACATAATAATATGGAAGTAGAAGTGAGTAAACCACGCTTTATGACTGGTGTTAGCACAGCTTCATGGCAAAGTCATGCTCTTTTAACTGCATTCAGAAATTATGACAAACTAAAAGATTCCACATTGTACATGCTCAAGAGGAACTTAAGTATTTAAAACAAGAACCGCGACAAACTGAGACTTCCATTTTTGTTCTCTTCATCTGTATAGAAGCAAATATAGCAATCGCTCAACAAGCGCATCAAGTCTGGATCATTCAGAACATCGTTTGGTAAATGACCTTCTCGGATAACACTTTCATTAATTTTGTACCAACCAGTATCACTTAACCAGTTTGACATCTTTTCACACAATTTTACCTGAAACTTAAAACAGCCTAAAACTTGGAGAAGTTTTCGAACTGCTCAATGTTTCCGAGATTTTGCACTACAAATCGGCTAAAAAGTTAGCACACACTCTCAAAGATTAAAGACAGTTGGATTCTACTAAAACAGCGTGATATGAATTCATCTCTCTTTTATTCTGCAAAAATCTCACCTAACATATACCAATTAAATATTTGGATTAGCACATTACGCGTGATCGAAGATTTGATGATAATCGCATGATAAATCTGTATGGAATAAAAATAACCTGTGGAACATTGTAGCCATCTGAAAGACCCACTCGATCGGCCATTGAATCAAAAAACGTCCATTTATTCGCAAAAAGAGCACGTACAAATGCTACGTAATGGGATGTTTCAATGCAAAGAACAGATGCAAGTTGCAATTTAATTTGAGGTACTTGCATTCTGCGAGACAGAGAAAGAGAATTTGAAGAGGAAAATAGATTACTCGTATCTACGAGTAACTCTTGCGGTTGGTGATCTAAACCACTGTGTGTTCGTTCATAACATATACCACAATAAGTCACCTGAAAACCGAAAAATTCATTAAAATGAAATTAAAATCTTAATTCGAGCGACTGATCACAAGACAAGCTGAATACATTTTCTAATAAAAATTGATTTCTGGCACAGCTGAATTTATTAATTTGAAAAGAAAACTTGCAAAAAGATAACTGATATTCAGTAGTAAAATGTAATCATAACCTCTGCAATGAATACTTCTTGAGTCAGAAAACACTCCGGACACATCAGGTCAGCAAGTCTACCACAATTAATGCAAGGTCGTTTACCTATAATGCTGCTAATTTCAATTCCTATTTATCTCCGGAAAAACGTGTGAAACTGAACAAATACTGCTTATTATAAATCCCACAATTTAAAAAAAAATTAACACACAGAAACATTTCCAAGAAATGAAAATCAAATAATTAAATGGTCCATGCACAATAAGCAATTAAACTCACTGTTGTATATCAAATGAGTAATATCTACTTCTTGTGGTGGGAATATCTTATCAAAGACTTTTTGTTGACCGTAACGTGGTAGTTGAAGAATTAGAATTTTCGGTGCCTGCAATTAATATTGGATTCTAAATATGGGGCAATACTTTCAAATAAATAAGCAGCAAAACATGATCAAATCAATCACTGAAACTTTCCAAAGTTTCTAGATCTTAAAAGTAAATCATTTTTACATCTGAATCATCCATTATAATTTTTCAAATAGACAAATGCTATTACTAAGCTTTAGAATATACATTCCGATACAATTTAAAACTGAAAACATAAATGAAATACTCTACTAATCCGAGAAAATGCGAACTATTTTCAGAAAAAAATTTATCCAAAAAATATAATAAACTATCAGAAAATTTTTATATTAGTTTCAGTCTTATAATACAAATACCTCTGGAACCTCAAAAGAAAGTTGCTAAGAGAACAATGAACCACAAAATGTCAGTTTATTGATTTCACTCAAAAAGTCAGTCTAATTTCATCTCACTCAAAAACTGTCATAGATGATATAAGATGGAAACTAATATAAAATTTATTGAATTAGTTTATTACTTTTGCTTGGATAAAAGACGGAAAAATAGACTCACATGTGCAAATTGGATATTCGATGCAAAAAATGATCTTTCAAGAAGTGTTTGTACACTAATCAGCCGTCTTTGCTCTTCACTCCATAAATCTTCTGTTATCAGTGGACAAATATAGGCCGCATTAGTTTTATTGTCCGTCATATTTCTCAAAGCTTTTTTGATATAGAAATGAAGGGGCGTGAATAGAAAAATCAAAAATCCAGTTCAATTCTTTATAAGATTTTGCTTAGTAAAGCAAAAGTTCAAATTTTCTTCCACAACAAATATTTTCACTTTAACTGTAACCAAATTACCATCAAGTATTACCGAATGACAAGAAAAGGTTCAACCCGTAAAACAGTAGTGAACAGAGCATTTAATAACTCTTCTGGATCTTTTTCACCAGTAGTTAGGCCTTTCATTTCGGGAAGAAGTCGTTCCAACAAACATCGCAATTTCAATACATGATCAGCACGAATGAAGTGAAACCTGAATTATTTTAATGCAACAATATGCTGAAATTTCATATGAATCCCATGTAAATTTTGAAAACAGCAGCGAAACTGAATAACCAAGATCAGAGTTCTTACCTTCTCAAAGGATATACAATTTCAGTTTTAAGAATGTCAGTGACTTCTGTATGAATCGAATCTGCTTCAGTTTCGCATCTACTTTCTAATATCCTGAAAACTCAAAAGATCGATAAGAAAAAGTGTAGTATTCGTTAAGAAGCATTCAGATAAAGATGAACTTTTGAGGACAACAGGTTAAATAATATAAATCATTTTGCCCTTTTACATTACCTATCAAATGCTGTACACTGTGCGAACATGGCATAAAGTGTGGCGTCAAGATAGCAACTGTTTCGAAAGCCTTGAATTCCTTTCATACGCCCGACCAAACTTTCTATATTTTTTGTTGGAAAACAAGGTCGGACTTCTATACCACTGTCCAAGCTTCCAAAGTTTGTTGTTACTACTTAAATGAAGAAAGTTTGTTCATGCAATTTCCAAGGAAATTTTCATGACTTGTAACTATATAGGAATGCATATTTACTTGTTTTTGCTTCACAATTATCAATTTCTGGTGCACTACATGCTGAAAAGCGATTGTCAGAACGAAGAGCACAATATGGTACCAGAGTAATCGACTCTAGACTACTGCTAGCAAAAACAGCTTCTAAATTATCTTCCGCTAGTGTTTTACTTATTGCTTCCCAATCCTCAGGCACATCTCCTTCCTTCAACGAATAATTATATTCTCAAGGAAAAACACTCAGTTGAAAAAAAAGTTCTCAAATAGCAAGTTTTTACAACATTGCTGTGGTATAAAAGCAGCATTTTATGCAAAAAAATTGTTGTCATCTAAAAAGATGTGATTTCCAAGAACTAAAAAAACTGCAAGATGCAATCAGCAAGATGAATTCACTTACAATGTCGACAGCAACTAAACAGTTGCTATGAATTAAATTACTACCACTATCAATCCATTTTACTACTCCATAACGCCGTTCATTTCGATAAAATACCTCAACGCACGATCCTGAGAGAATTATAGTCAACATTTTTCATTTCTGAGGTTTTATTTAGAAGAAGCTTCTCTGACCACCAATATAGTTCCCATTTTAATTTTAAATTAATTTTACTCGCTAAAAGCGCTAAAAGTCTTACCCTTACAAATAGAGAAATATTGGAAATGAAAATAAGTATAACAAAAATAATATTCATAACGCTATATAACTTTTAAAAAATGATCTCTACAGTACCGTATAAATAAAATGTTTACTCTTAAAACTACATATTACAGATTCTTCATCAAAAGGAAAAATACCAAAAAAATGTTAGCAATCTTACCTACAGTGAATTGCGCATCCGACAGGATTACTCGTTCTTCATTGTCAATCAACGGTTCTCTTTGAACAGGTGCTAAATCAAGATTACCTGACATCAGTGGCAATCGCGAAGAGTGATTCTGATCTTCGGCTGAAGACGGCCGCAATTTCAGACTTGTAATAGCTGGCTTGCTATAATCCTCATCTCCCATATCCTCTTCTTTCATGCATACGGAAATTGGCAATAAGCCTGCATGATTTGGTGCACAACAAAATAACTCAAGGCCTTCAAAATAACCAGTTCCACCACCTATTGCTTCATCCTACAAATAGCAGAAACAATGTACCTTTACTAAGAGAGGGAAATGTTGGATTGATGACTAAAAAATTACTATTATCTTTCCTGTTCCCAAAACATCTTTGATTTCAAAGTATGTTCTTTAACAGTCGAAGTGTTTTTAATGCACCAAAGTAAATCACACACTCCAAATAATGAAATTCAATCTGACATCTATTTCCTAAAGTCTGAATAAATTATTTTGGGACATTTTTGGGAAGAAATGAAAGAAAAAGTCTAAGGATTTGCACTGTTTTGATTAACCATTTAATTTTACTTTTTCTACAATGACCTAACGGTTGTGCTTATTACATGAAAAATCAATATCAACTAACAAAATCAACTCCAACGTAAACATTTGTATGCCCGCGTAAGTAACCAATCCATTGAACTGTTCCTCGATGAGGCATACCCAATGCATCAAACCAAACTACACGATCACCCTCCACTAATTTCCCATTACCTAGCTTTAATCTAAAAAACCCAATATTAGCGAAACATTATTCAGAATAACAATAAGAAATTATTTTATAAGCTAAGAATGTAAACATAAGTAAGGGATTCCGAAATCCTTCATGACCGATATGTGCTGCTAGTTTGATGGAATAAGTAAACAATGTAAAATAATGCCTAAAATATTCTGGATGAAGGTAAATCAAATTTATTTCTTCTTGATAATTTTAAACACGACAGAAATATCGAAATAAGAGAACCTCACTGTTTCCATTGCTATCAAAGATGTAGTGCGTTTCTCATTCCACGAATTTCGTGATGGCTCCTCAATAGATTCTTTTGCACGGAATATAGGTTGTTTTAATGAAGGCACTTTCGCACAATTTTCTGATTTTTCTAATTGATCACTGCCATTAATATCAGGATGACTTGAGCTAAAAAACTAGGTAACCCCATAAATTTCAAAAATTTTAAGGCCAAAAGCATCTGTTATGAACTTTTAAATTATTCGTTTCCATTCAGCAAAGCAAGGTAAAATCTCAAAGCGCTTCTTAGATCTACATGAAATCCGAGATTCATTGAAACTGATAGTACAAAACAAAACGCTGACATTTCTTCATCTGCACAACAGATCGGGAAACCTCCATTTCGTAGAACAGATGATGACGACTGATTTGGCGGTAAAGTACAACTCTGTGGTTTTCCTGCCGATGTTGCCTGTACAATCCGAATGGGAATTTCTCGAATTAAGGGTCGATTCAGTGAGCTGTTTCTATTGTATCCAATATTACTTTCAAGATGTATTATGGGGGAAGTAGCACTTTCATTACAAGCTGGCTGCGTAATCGGAATGTTCAATGCACCATGCTGTCCTTTTCTAAATTATAATTAAAGTAAAATGCATTGTGATGCAGCGGTTTATTATTTCACCAAAAAAAGAAATCATTTCTTTGAGCATAAAAATCAAAAGAGTAATTCTATTTCTTACAGGTGAAGTTTTGCGAAATGTTCATTTTTTAAAAATACGATACCGTAACGATGAAAAATTATCACGATAGTATACGGGTGATGATGAAAAGCCATGAGCAGAGAACTTCAAGTCCGCATCTAGAATGCTTACGTTTCGAGGATTTCTCAGACGATTGCCACTTACCAAAACAGCTCCATGAGGAGGAGCTTCAAACAACCGACGACCATTGAAACTTCCATCCATATCACCAACAGCAGTCTGTGAAAAATGCGGCCAAAATTTTTAGACAAAAATTAAAATTAGCAAAGAAAGCAGTCACAGCATAATAAAACAAGTAAAACCTAAATTTTTTGAAAATTTTACCTTAAAAAACTAAATTTTGCCTTAATATTGCATCAAAAAAAATGAAGAATGCAAGTACTTTCAGTATCATAAAATGAAAAACTCATATTCTAGCAGGAATAAAAAGCAATAAATATAACACTGGTAAAAATCCTTCAGCAAGCAATCATTCAACAATAACACATTTAAAAACTCGTCAAAATAAATGCATGGGAAAAAGTAATTGTTCATTTCATTCAAAATTATTGACTCCTTCATTGCAAAATGAGCTAAACTGAATTACTTCTCATACATTCATCTATTTCTTCTATCTTCCTCAGTATAGAGTACTCGGAAATACTATAGCAATACAGAAAGCAAACAGAAAACAGATGTATGCCAAGCTAAAATTCAAAATTAAAAAAAACTATAGAAGGCTATGAACAAATTTCGTGGCATGTACTGCTTTAGAAAAGAAATTAAAAGAAACAGAACAAAATCAAAAAACAAAACATCTACAGTAAATGAACATGTTTGATCATATAAAACAGCTGCATTCAATGAAAAAAATTTGTTCAATGAAGAGTCGTTTGAAATTTTACAGAAAACTCAAATTCAGCAATTTTGTGAAATCAATTAGAGATTAAGAAAACATTCTTACACACTTCATCTCTTGACTCAAATTCAGTCAGTGATTAGAAATCAATCAGCTGATATTGTTGCTGTATTTCATATGTCATTATTATTTTAACATAATGTCTCATGATATGACTTCGTCTAAAACAGATAATCATTAAAAAGCAACAAATAATGATCTTAATTAGCATTAAATTACACGAAAATTTCGGGCACATACTGATAACTGTGCTAATCTACTTTCATCAAGCATAAATTCCAAATAAGAATATAATAACTAATCCTTCCTTGAGCAAAAATTTTCACGATGAAATAAAAAAAATTTTGATTTCAAAAATTCCTAAACTATCAACAGGGTGGACACATGTGAAAGATACGATACAGAGATACCCAAAAGATTAAACTTCCTTTTATCGATGCAATCAATTGAGACAAATGCTAGTAATAAAACGTTTCCAAAAAATTAGCATAATGCTGAAGGAATTTGTAAGAAATGAGAAAAGTTGTCTTGTAAAAACAATAAGAAGAATGCAAGTTAAAGCTATATATGAATAATTTGAGAGAGACACGAAATAGGAATTTACTGCTATTTGTAGGACTAAAAACAATATACAAAAAAACAAGCAGGATTTTGATTTATCAAAAAAAAGTTCAAAACATATTCCCAACCCATCACGGTAGAGCTAGTATTCGACAAAAAAGACAAACTGGCATAAAATATTTGAATCATTTGGTTAAGAATAAGTATACACAGCTTGAAAAGACCACTTCAAAATCGACTACGTACAATAATAAAAAAAAAGAAAATAGATTAAGTCTGCGAAAACTAGCATGATAAAATCAGAGGAGGCAAATATAAATACCATGCGAATGAATTTTATACAACGTCATCTGTATAGATAATGATAATTATTTCTGAATTCAGGTGAATGAAAATTTAAAAAAGATTATGAGAAGTACTTTAAATGAACTCATTCAGAGTACGAAATTACATGATTATAACTCATCAAATATTCAAGATTACGCTTAATAAAATCAATATGTATTTCAGTAAGTAAAAGCAACTTTTAAATCTTTACTGCTGAAAAGAAAATAACCCCACCATCAACTTAATATTCCTTTATTCAACTCCTACGTTTCTGACTATTTAAAATTTAATAAATGACATCATAAGCGTCTTCAAACTTGACATTTTTAAACATTAAACTTACATCCATCATTAATAATAAAGCAGATTAAAAACTGAAACCGTACTGGTTATAATGGTAGATGTAGTACTAACCTATTCATAATGATAGATGTAATACTAACTCAATCTCATAAAAAATTTCGCTCTTTATCTTTCTCAAGATTTCTGACATCTATTCTCAATCGAAATCTTTAACATACTTCATGTAATAAAAAAGATTACTTAAAAAATTGAACCAGCACTGGTCATAACTTGATACAGGATCTTAAAATGGCTGACGAAGCAATTACATCACAAAATAATTGCGGTAGGTTGATGAATAAAAATAAACATGGTTTGTGATTTTCTTTATTCCCCTTGGTTTATCTCCACTATTTTTAGCTTTTTTAATCTACTTTCACAATTAGACATGTTTATGTAATAGTTTGTATGCTTCCAATACTCACTGTTCATGTCGATTTAAGTGCAGAGCACCACAATTATGAAAGATATAGAAAGAATCACATCTTTTATGATATTACTTTCAATGACTGCAAAACAAATGAAATATTCCAACCTCAAAACGTATGCCGAACAAAAATCCATCACCCGGAACGAGTTCACCACGCCATTTTACCCAGCCTGGTTTGAAACACTCCTGTTCAACATTTCCACCTTTGAGCTACAAGTTGTTCGTTAGAACATATTTTAAATCAAAAGATTAATTAAAACTTGGGATGTAGATTTGATGAACGACATATTACTCGTTTCTAAGGTAATACATGCATTAAAATATAAATATCTAAGACTTTTTAACCCTTCTCATAAAAAGAAATTATATTTTCATGAATGAAACAAATGGTCCTTTAAATATTTGTTATTATATACTGGAAATCATGTTGGAATTTGAAGATATCTATTCCCCAGCATTCGTTCTAATTTTCTCAAGCATAATGCCGACCATGTTTATTTTAATTCAAGCAAAAAATAATTCAGCAAACACAAATTCAGACCTGTACCACTACACGATCCCCGATCTTCAACTGACATACGAAATTAAATAGATCTGAATCATGATAAAAACGGAAGCGAATTTCAGTGTCATGAATAGCTTTTAGTAATGATACTTCTAAGTCACTCAAATAAACAATCTGAAAAATAGACGAGAAAAATGTCTGTCTTATTTAAAATATCTGTATATCTCCAATATGTTGAATTATTTCCAATCGTAACAAAGAGGAAAGTGATAATTCCATTACATTACTTGTAATAAGAGAAAAATTTTATTATTAGCAACAAAAAACATACTTTTTTTGTAGGTACCCGAAGATAAATATTACTGAATTCAATACATTTCATAAATAAAACGTCTTTCTCGCACAAATTATCTACTTCTTCATGAATGTCATTAAATTGCCGCGCTTCTAAACTGCCATCCATCACTAAGCGTAACAAATGACCTCTTTCAACCTGAATCACAAGCATCTGAACTTTGACCCTAATTAACCTGAAAGGGCTTACGGCTACTGATGAGTTCAAGTGCTTTTGTCAAACACATTACATAATTTTGGTCCAGCTGCTAAAAATATAACGAAAGAAGAATCAACAAAATGTTTCCAGCTCTGAAATGACTAAAGAAGATACATAAGTAATTTGTAAAAGTTAAGTAAAAAAAGCAGTTTGATTTTTAATCGGTTAATTTCAAAAATTTATTTAGCTATATTTGAAACGATTCAAAAATCTAGATTAATCAGTACATAATTAAAACTCAAATCTTGATGGTAGTTAAAACAAGAACCTCAACTAAAGTGGAAAACCGCCTTTGCCTTCGATCATACATTTTTCCTTCACAGTTTTCTAGCAGCAATGATGTGATTAATGAAGTACTTACTGTGAGCTGATTAGCAGTATTGTTTGTCATCATTTTTGAGGCAATACTTTAAAAACTAGAGAATGTTATTTAATGTTCACAAAAAATCAAACAATCAATATATGAAATAAGTTCTGTTTAAACAACAGTGACTTTGTTTATTTGATTTAACGTTCACAGTCAAAACTAAGTACGAATTTAACTTTTTGTTTAAAACGAATGTTTTTGATTGCGTAAAAGTGAACTTTTTTATAACACCCGAGCAGATTTTTATGTGAGCAATGGGCAGTTACTGCGGACATAAAATGCATGGACAATGAATGGACATGGGCAAAAAATATCTTTCCAAAGAGCAAATGAAAACAACATGCAGTACAACAGAAATATACAAATACTATGTGAAAATAAAAACAAACCCAAACTGATCATTTTGAGATTTCGTTAATAAAGTCCCAGGTTCTTCCAAAGGATTACCAAACGGTACTTCAGTTTCACCAACAGGTTTAGTACGTTGGTTTATGGTGTAGCTAGAACAAATTTTTTTGCATATTACTGCAAAATCATTACATTCTCTATTTACTGAAGGAAACTGATTAATCATAAACGCTTGAATTATCAATTCGAACTTTGATATGTCAGATTCTTGGTTGCTCTAACCTCAGTGGTAGTAATGTTGAGTCATGCTGTTTTTTCATAAGTGAGCCTTTTGCTTTTATGCATACACCTATAACTCAAACAAAATAAAATCCTCTGCAGAACAGTTGTATAACCAGACATGTTTGACTTAAACCTATATAAAACTTAATTTTGAATAAAAATTTCTACAAGACTTACTAGATTTATAAATAGTCCAATGTTAAAAAATATTATTTTAAGATTATTATAAGATCACAACGCGTTCAAGTTCGTTTCTTTACAACTTAATATCTAAATGCTTCTTTGCTAGCATGTCAAATGACACAATTTATAAGTTATATAACGCATTTTATAAGTCAGCTTACTAGATACCTCCCTACTCTCTCATTCATAATATACTGATGACCTATTAGATTCAGACTACACTCAACAGTTTACTATTTAATCAGTCTGTTAAACTCCGTTCAAAACAATGCCTCACTAGCTGCACACGGTAATCAAAGTGTTATGAACAGTAAGAGCGTAAAAGATGGCCCGTCAAATGTTTGCCTCATGGCTGGAGTAATGGATGAACTCTCCAAAAAAATTTGGGGATATTCATTTTTTTAAACAAGAATTAATGATGCTCACAATGCAAGGAGTGTACTGTGTGAGAGAGTGAATAAATTCAAAGAATAGAAAGATTGAGAATGAGTGAAAACACTATTGTAGCTGGAGAGGAGAAAAAGATTGACAGAGTTGCTTTTCTGCTTTGCTTGTGGCGGCAGCACACGGGAGGATTAGTAAAGTACAGTTGTAGAGCTTACGCAAATACTCATTGAACAAAAGGACACGTAAGGTAGACAGGATTCGTTAGACGGTTGTAATAGATCTATTATTGGCTTATACGTTTAAAATCTTCTAAAGATTCAATTCTGCAAGGTTTTGAGTAACTCCGTGCAAGATTGAATCTTCAGAAAAAATTAAACTTCAAGAAATGAGTAGATCAAACCACTTGTCCCATTTGGCAGTGGCAGTTCGGAACTGTTCGGCAAAAGCGTTAGGATGTGGCAATGTTTTTCGTTTTGCGAGCACTCATTTTGGTTTTCAGGAGGTCGATGAGGAGGAGAAAGGAAGGAAAGGTAGGCTGCTAACCTATGTTGCAAACTGGAAAGTTTGTATATATATATAGCTTATAAATCTATTAGAACGTCAGTCTGGCAGCAAAAAAAATCATGTGTTACATGTGTTTATCATGTGTTTATAACCTTTCAATTCTTGGCACTGTCAGCAGTATATGTGTGTTGTAAATTATGACAGTTCTCATTATTTCACATGATGGAATTTGCAGGTATTATAAGTACTATATTTGTATGTACTGCAGTGTATTTTGGCTAGATTGAAGTTTTAATGAATTTATTACTTTCTATGGCAGCATTGCATTGGCCTATCTTCGTTAATATAATTACGTTTAGTACTTGATGATCTTACCTTACCTCCACTCATTTTTCATTAATTAAATGTATTTCTTATCATTATATTTAAGAATTTTTGTTGTGGAAAAAAATATGCAACAGCCAAAGTTCAATTTTTCACTTCATTTTAATTGTAATTAAAAAAATATAATTAAAATATTTCAGTACATGCTGTATTTGCAAATGTTGCCAACAAGTATGATCTGATGAATGATGCTATGTCATTGGGTATTCATCGGTTGTGGAAGGTTTTTTTTTCTCCATTCAACTAACTGTACTGTTAGTACGGTTTTTAAAGTAGCTCATTTAATTACTTTATCATTTTATTGGCATTCGATTACTCAATTGTTCTAATGAGTAAATTTATTTTCGTCTTTACTAGTGCATTGATTTTAATCAGAATTGAGTAGCTATATTAAAGGATTTTTTCGTCAGAAGTCTGGAACTTTCACCTAATACTTCAGTAGTGGATGTTGCAGGTGGTACAGGTGACATTGCCTTTCGTGCTGTGCGCGAGATGCAAGCCAGGTTTTTAAATTTCATTTTTTCTCAAAAATAAGTCAGACTGAAAAAATGAGCTTTACTGATCCAGTCGTAGAAAAAAATAACTATTTTTATTGCTTTCTTAGAATGTTAACAAAAACTTGTACGTTCGAGTGACATTATTTTGTTACTGGATGAAGATATTTCTATATTGATTTCTTATAAAAATAACTTGAATCTTTGGATTTGTTTTTTACCATTTTCAGCAAAAAACAATAAGTCCAAAGATTTTGCGTATAATGACAAAAATTTCACAATCTTATAAATATGAGGGCTAGATTTTATGTGATACGGGATTCTAGTAATCGTTGGTTGAATCTGTTGAAAATTATGTCATTTATTTTTCAAGCCATTTATTACCTTCGCTCTTTAGATTAATCCTAAATCTCATTTTATCTTACACTAATTCCTTTATGTGCCAAGTGAAATATATAACCACGAAAATATTATTTTTTAAACTTATATCAAACTTTCTATATTGTTTTATTTTTGGAGAGTTTGTTTCCTTTTAACGATTACTAGGATCACGTATCACATAAAATCTAGCTCGCATATTTATAAGATTGTGCAGTTTTTGTCATTATACGCAAAATCTTTTATTGCATGCTTTTCAGTTCTTGGAGCAAAAATTATATGCTGTTATTTTATTAATTATAATATTTCTCGGCTTTGCCGAGGTGCTGAGTGGTTGATTGTATATTGATATTTTAGTATAATATTCAATATTAATGGAAAATTAATCAAGGAATTATGTATTTCGTGATGCATTTTTTCAAGGCAGGGTACTGGTACTGTTACTGTATGTGATATAAACGAAAATATGCTGAAAGTAGGTCAAAAGCGTGCGACATCTGATCCGTCAGTCTTGAAAGGTTTTTTACTTTTATTAATTACTTTTAAGGTTGAGCTCTATAGTTTTTTGTAGCTTTATTACAAAAACTAATTATTTCTCATTGTAAATCCATTTATTTACAAATTTTAGTCGGTCTGATGTTTGCTGATCAACACAGCAAAGTACTTTATAGTGTACTTGCAATTTTCTCACAGGATATGTTTTTAAATCTTTTGCCTTATAAAGTAGATCAACTGCTTCCATGGTTTTTTGCTCTTTACAGCACTTGGGTAAACTTAAATTGGAATGCAGAGTATCACAGTTTGCTCAATTTGACACATTGAGAGGTATAGGATTTTTATATAAGTAATGCGATCTTCGTAATTTGATCTTAAAATATAATCACTGTTTAGATCGGCTGAAATGGGTGTGTGGAGATGCCGAATCTCTTCCTTTTGACGCAAATTCCTTTGATGTGTATACGATAGCTTTTGGAATAAGAAACTGTACAAACATTCACAAGGTTATTCTTCAAAAATTTTTGATAGGTATCATAATTACTAGTTCAGTGTTTATTAGTGTTTGTAGACATTACTTTTTATTTATCTGGTCGTAATACCTCTAAATTTTAAATTCAGAGAAGTTATTGGGATTCACGTAAATTTCATGTCAAGTGAAAGTTAATCTTGAAACAATGGAAAGCAGTTATTTATTAGTATGTTTTCTCTGTTTTAGGTATTGAATGAAGCATATCGTGTTCTTCGAACCAATGGGAAATTTGCTTGTCTCGAGTTCAGCCATGTCAATTCAATATTGAAACCATTTTATGACTTTTACAGTTTTCAGATTATCCCTGTAATGGGTCATCTTATCGCTGGTGATTTTAACAGCTATCGCTATTTGGTAGAGAGCATACGACAATTTCCAAATCAGGTAAACTGCAGGTTCAGACTCAAATCAATCAAGGGATTATGTATTTTACGACACATTTTCAAACTGCCTTATTGAACCATTTAGTACAAGTTTACACATATCAGCTGATTCTCCTCTACTACTATTTTACTTGACAAACATAAATTTATGTAAATGGCAGTTGTTTTTTCAGTCAGTGCCCATTTTAAGCTCCGAGTTTTATGGAGATCTGACAATTACTTGTGCTGAAATAAGGTGCTTTTTAGAATGAATACAAACGAATTATTGAGGAAGCTGGTTTTCGCGACGTGAAATATACCAATCTGTCATGTGGAATTTGTTCCATCCATACTGGTGTTAAGAGTGGCAAAATTCAGTAGACGTCCTAATAGTTGCCTCATGTCATTGTTTTCCTCTTGACTTTTAAATAATAAAAATCCTCAAGAATGATTCACAGTGTTCATTTTATAGCCATCGTAGTCTGGCAACAGTTGATTTTCTATCCATCTATTTCGAATCATGCTTTGTTTTAAATTTTGCAGATTCCTATTAAATATTTCGCAGACATAAAACATATCACCTAATAATGAATATTTCGCACAATGTTCTCAGATTGTAAAAATATTGACTTTCATATAATGGTGAAATACTTTCGTTTGTCGGGTGGTGCTATATTATTGATTAAGGGAGATTTTCTAATATTCTTTTTTCCCCTATTTCAGAGTTTGGAAATTATTATCCATTAATTTTATGGTTAAGATACGATAATATGAGTGGCTTGTTTGTTCATCGGAATCTATTACTTGGCATAGTGTCAAAGCGAGCGCTGGTTTTTTCGTCCAATTTATTGGCCAAGTTAATTTAAATCGATTTGTTATAGTTGACAATAATCCTTGTTGACATTACTGGTGTTTGTAATTTATAGGTTACAAAAAGGAAGAGGGAATTCTGTTGTAAAAGAGTTAGGACGACTAACTGCCGCACAAATTGATACGGAGCCGTACTTACCTGGACAGGTGAAAATTTTTTGGCTTATTTTTTCATGCCACTTATTTAACATTTTATTGCCACAAAACTATTATAAAAAACTAACTGCCTCAAGATTTCAAGCACTTTTTGGTTTTCTGAAGAATAAAGAAGAGAAAGAAATGTCAGCAATATTCGCTTCATTATATAAATTGTAATCTGAAGAAAAATTTTTTGTGATTTGCCTATTTGCCTTTATAGTTATTCATACACAAGTTATTTCCATATAGAGGGATTGTTCTGTGTTCATTTGCTTGTCCTGTTGAGGAGAAACTGCCAAATTCTAGGTAATTGCTAAATATTTGTGATGCTATTATTGTATACTTCATTAATTTTTTTCTCTATCTAAAACTTTTCGAAGTGTTTTGCCTTCTTTTCACCTTTGTAATACTCACATTTTATCCAAAATTAAATACAGTTTGAAAGCTTTTGAAACTTTTTAACTTATAAAGTGTTTCGACTTTACCATTGACTAGTTATTAGTTTTCAGTTCTGGTGATTCAGTAGTGATAACACAGAAATCTTTATTTTATCAAATACTTGTACACAGTGGAGACTGGAAAAATATGGTTCGTTTAAGATTTTTTCGGATTCTCTTGTAATGGCATTTAAGTATGTCATGTAATGAGGCCAATATTATCTCTGCAATTGAAAAGAGAATTGTTAATGTTTTATTGGCAATATTTCTTCATATTTAGTTGAAATAGAGTGTGCAGTCTTTCAGATACTTTGTAATTCTTTCTTTTTCAGCATTTTCCGGTTGACATTACATCTTATCTTGAAGATGCTGGTTCTATGCATGCAGAAAAAGCTTTAACTGTTATTTTTGGAATGGATTGTGTGGCACATGATGAAATTATACCGTTTAGAACGCAAAGTATCCGTCCCATCACTCATGACTTGTTCCGTGGACTGTTTGAATGCACTGCAGTAGAAGATAACGGTTTCTAAATATTCGTTGCTTGCAGTGCCTTATTTTTGCAGCCCACAGTTTTAAGATTTGTTTGACATTTTTCACTGCTGTTTAGATTTCGTATTCGGTATTCGAAAAGAGCCAAGCTTCTTGATTAGTCAAAACTCAAGATATGTTTTAAAGCAGCTGAGGCCTCACTTTGTGTATCGTGAAACTACAGACGGGATAAGGGTCAGGTTTTGCTATTTTGGTTCATGATAAGAAAATCTGATTATTCCTGAAATCATCCTGCTGAAATCAGGAGGTGAACATTAGATTTGCATTCACAATTTTTCAAAACACTTTTATCTTTAACTCAAATGTTAGTTTGAAGTCTGGAAAGGTCAACCTAATGTACAGATTAGTATATTAAATTTCATTCTTCTATTAGATTAATTCCTTAATTTTATGAATTTAATTTTTAAATTTTATTTAGAGGCATAAAATTAAAATGCAACTGCAAACTGCTGCAAGTTCTCAATTTATCTTTTTCAAGAACTTTACATATTTATAATCTATTACATATTCTTGATACTCTCAGTAGGGTTTAATATTTTCGCTCTATATTTTTCAATTTTTCCGCTTCTGCTATTACAAGTAGCTTTTTGCTACTCTTACATTATCCAAGTATTATTTTTTCAGGTGACTGTGATCACTTTTTATTTAGGATTAAACACAGTTGGTGGGCTACAAAAGCATTGGGTTTGTCCAAACGTTGTTTTTAATTTAGAATTTTTAAAAAATATTGTTTTTTTTTGTAAAATGTGTGCCATAATCTTAATGTTCAAAGCATTTTACTTGGTTTTGATATTGTTTATTCATTTTGACACTTTTTGATACTAACTGTGTTCTCTTATGAGATTTTAATGCTAATTAGTAGATTTCAGTGGCGATATGTTATTCGGCTGGAAAATCTGGAACCTTGTTCTATAATTGTCCGTTCTAGGGAAATGAAAGTTTATAGTTTGAGTAATATGCAACAACAAAGAGCTCCAAACATTGCAGGAGGGGTAACTTTATTTTCATATATACCCACTGAAGTTGATTATTTTCAATTTTCATAAGTTGAAATTTATATTTCAATAATTAGTAATGTGAAATATAAACTGAAAAAAATTCTTACTATTACTTGAACTTGGACAGACAGTACCTGATTTTACATTGGACACAATCTTCTTTGCTCATTTGAGACGGTTGAAGTAGGCTCATTTTCTAGATCTCTGAGAAGTGTTTTTTTTTATTATCAGAAACTCTCATGAACTTCACAGCCAAGCACTTCGAACTGAGTACTTATCAACAGAAGTTCATTTATTTATCAAAGAAGTCACTTATATCAGTTGAAGTAAGCAGGTATCTAGAAAAAACTCTGATGAGCAGAGACAAGAAGTGGCATTACGTTTGTACAAATTGCATTTTACCAAATTAGGATTTTGCATGTTTGTTAGCACTTCCGAATGTTAATGAAATTTGTTTCAGAATCCTCGATTGACTCCAGAAGAGCCAGCATTTCAATACAGTGGTACTGTCGGTGTGGCAGTAGACAAAGGATCGTATGCTTGGTCTGTTACTATATTATTTGATTTCTTGCTTTATTGTATGTGATGAGATTTGAATGTTTCATTAATGAAAAGAAAAATTGATGAAGCATAACGAGATGTATCAAGTTCTTAATAGTTTAGTGTAAAGCACTCATTTTGCAGTCCAGTACATCTGCAACCCTTCATTTTTTTCAGGGGAAATTTCACGATGGAACGCGAAGAAGACCGAACTTCATTTCTGGTCAGAGTACCTACATTTAGATTAGAGTATGATTCTAGTTTAACACCGGAAAAAACTGAACAATTGAGTTGATGTAAATGCTATGAAAAATTTTAGTTCGCCATGTGACATTTATTTTCGAATGTTCAAGATTTCTTAACTAGTTCAAAATATTTTAATTTTCATTATGTATATATTTTTCACATCGGTGTTTCTTTCATTTCAAATGCATCACTAAAAATGGCGATAGTTTTCTACACTATTTCACATTCTTTTTTTAACTATTTTGATTTCAATATACAATTTTTACATGTGTTTATAATTTATTATTGTCTCAGCTTATATTTCGGATCTGTATCTTGCAGTAGGTACTTCAGAAATTTTCTGCAGCTTTGCGCTTTCTGACAGATTCTTAACGCCACAAGTGGAATTACGATGTCTTATTGTCACTGTCTGTGATTACATAATTTTTGTGATGCTGTTATTTTGTGATTACTCTTTTCTGATGCGATCGATTTTCGTCAGTGAAGATATTTATAGAATTACTTGAGTAAAAATTGATATGGTTGGTAGTGAATTGCGATGTTGGTGACGGTCTTTTTAAATTTTTAATAGAAGTTGAGAACAGTACAAACATGACAAAACAAACATTTTTTGGGATGAATGAGTGGTCGCAGGAGGAGTTATATGGTATATATGCACAGAGCCAGAAAGTGAGCATTTCTCTCATGGCACTTGCTATCACTCGATCATCTCCAATTTATGCCATTGCTCGAATTCATAGCCAGGATTCTGTATGCAGTTGTTCCATTGCTTCTGTCGCTCACCTTTTGCTGATGTGGACAGTAAAATGCTTCCTATAAAAAGTTTTGGAGGAGTAAGTGTGTGAATATCATCTTTTCCCCACACGGTCTTGATTAGTTTCGTGGTTGTGGATGAGGTACTTCACAAAGGTTAGTTTCGCAAAAAATCTCAACGCATGCTTGGGACTAATTTTCGCGCACTTGTTCGTCCAATTGTTGACGCAAGAAATTATCAATGACTGGTGAGACAGCAAGTGACAATAGGGATATTGTTATAAATAATGGGAAATTGGTTATTACTTGTAAGTTTACTGATCAGTTAAACAGAATTTGGAAGTTACTATAAATTTTGCCTAGTAAATGGAAAATTTCAAATAAATATGCTTCCGCGCAAACTTAAAACCATTACGGAATGAGTGATAAACTGTTTCTTGCCAAAATGCATGTAAGAATAAAATTTGACTTGTGAGTGTGCACTCAGCTGTAAACAGCAATATCAGATACGATAAACCAGTAAATGTATTTGGTCGCAATGTAACAGACTTTTCTAACACTTCCGTATGAGGCAGAAGTAGCTCGTTAATTCTTATATTCTGAATTCATATAACTTGGAAGAAATCCAGCGAGCAAAAGATATCCTTACCGATATAGTCGTCGTGTTTCCCGACATCTTTATCGAAAACATCGATTTGTAATGTTTTCTTGGGTAAGTCTTTATAGGGTATTACAAACGTCAGCGTCTGCAAAAACTTTTTCTTGTGTATTTTGTTAAATTCTTGGGAATGTAGACTGCTTGTGAATGTGAGAGTGCACTTTTTTAGAACTTTTTTCAAAATAAAAGAGAAAAAGTAGCGTGAAGAATTCAGTAATGAGATTTTTCCTTCTTGAATTATTGTGAGTGAGAAAACTTTCTTTACAGATGAAGTATTTTGCAAATTGAAATTTTTCAAATAAGATATTTCTTTATTCAATATAAATTTCTGTTCTTCTCAGAAGTGAGAGATCAATTATGTTTAAATGATGAAGTCTGACCTCATTAAATTCGGGATTCAATGTTCGTTTTTTTGTCGACGTCTTCTGCCTATGCGTTTTGTTAGTGAGTGGAAGTAATGAACTGCAAGAAAAAATAGTCACCAAATTAGTAGTAAAGTGTCCACGTAGGTATGTACCGAATCATTTAAAAATTTTTAAAGCTTTTTTGTACATCATAATTAGCACCTATTGTTTACATTTTTGCTCAATAAATGAATAAAAAGTCTTCAGTCTTACGGGATTCTTGCGACTACATTGATTCTTGGCTTAAGTAAAAAATGGTATAAGCATAATTTGGTAATTACAAAAAGCATAATTTGGCAAACTTCTGTTTGCAATAACTGATATATCTTCTTCTCCAATGATAATCTAATTTCTGGCATTACTGAATTTCTGGTTTGATTTTAAATTCTTTTAGATTAAACTATGATTTACATTTTTACGTAAGGATCCGAAAATCCTGTTGTGTCCATGCCAAGAAGCTCTACGCAACGTTTAATTGTTACATGTAGCGAACCTTGTTGTACATTATAAAGTAAGCTTACACAGATTTTCCCACGTTCATCGCTTGTATTTACATTTTCAATCTGAAGTAATTTTTTTTAATTCGAAATTTTATTTTTGAATCTTGGAAGAACTTGTCATATTTATCTAAAAAATTGTTAAGTTTTCAGTCTGCAGAAACTTGTTTTTCATATTTCAGTTGATTTCCTACTGTAGGAATTTACCCGTGATGCGTGTTCTAGATAGAGATCATAGCTTTTTTCTTCTTCTTTACTCAGTTTCTTCAATGGAACTCGAACCACTCCAAGAAAATCTGCACCGATCCGATCTCGATCAAATACCATTAGCTGAATTGATTTCTTCCAGTAATCTTCAGCAGTAACGCCATAATATGTGAATTCTTCATTCCATTTTGGATTCAGTGTTTTTTCAATAGTTTTACTGGTCATTTTTGTTGCCTGAATAGCACATTGCTTCAGACAGTAAAATTTAATCAACTACCTGTTTGATTTCATATGCTTAAATGGCTCTAGTAGAGAAAAAATTTACTTCATGCAATTACATATACTGAAAAAGTAGTAATATTTTCATAACAAGGTACAAAGTAAAATGCATAAGAACTGTTACTTTTGAAACTCCTGGAATCAAATACATTTTTACATAAGGATCAGAAAGCCCATTTCGATCCATTGCTTTCAGATTCTGAAAATTTTCAATTTTGAAATTTATTCCTTATTATTAGATTTTGTTAATTAGTCTGAACTGTGTTTTCAGCTTCAAATAGAAAAACTTCAGATTTTGATTGTTAAAGTTATTTCTGTGATAAGTAGTATTAACCTTTGCACTTATAAGATTGATGCGAAGTTCCATTTTCTGTGCTGAATACCGAAGTGTAAACTGTATCGATCCTCGCATTTCTAGTCATTTGAAAATTAACTGCTTATTCGTTCACGTTTCACAATTTGATTATATTTAAATAAATAGTACTTTGACTTTTTGAGTGTATTGTATATATCTTGCTGGTGCTTTTATTGTTATATTATTTTATCACTTACGTAATTAAAAGATGTAAAGCAAAGAATATTATAATTACAGATGAGTTTAAAAGTGTATAAAACGTGTTTTTTTGAGAGAAAGAACAAGCAAGGAAGATAAAAAGTAAAAAATTTTGACCAAATTCAATTTATTTTCATTTATATTTTGGAAAAAATTTGTTTAGAGGATTCAAGGGGAATTGCACTACAAATATATTTGTAGTAAGAATGCAGTGGCGTTCAAATATTATAATATAAAGTTGTAATAATGAACAAATAATTAAGTAAGGTTAAAAAAACATTACCGGTATCAGACTGTTCACGCTCAATGATATCGTTACCGGAAATCGCATGACGTACAGATACATTTTTTAGGATAGATTCATTTGTGACTGATGATTGCAAGGACATTGTGGACTGAGTAGTATCCGAACTTTTTGATGGCATTGTATTTGAACCTTTTGGCTTCTGTCGCCAGTGAAAGGGTGAACGAAATCGTTTCGCCAATGTCATTTCTGGAATCTCATATGAAAATAATTTATGGAAAGTTAGTGATGCTATCGATAATAATGTTTATCATAATGATGTCAATTTGTCCACGGCAATAATAAGGACTGCATCAGTAACGCTGAAGTTTACCATGAAATTACTTAATTAAAGAAAATAAGACTTTTGCTGTCATACGTGAAGTGGAAAGTTTTTTGCTGAAAATTCTAAATATTTCGTTTGAGATAACAAAAAGCAAAATGCAATCAAAAATACTTTTATTCGTAAGTTATGAATTATTTTCTTTTTCTTAAAATAATAACTCAGAAAGTAAATTTTAAGAAAAGCAAAACTTACTCTGGCGAGTTGGAGACTTACAGTGAGCTACTGTTTCTTCCTGAAGTAAAATTCGGAATTAGATTTTTCAAGCAGTTCTGAAAATTCAGTGAACAAAAAGACGAAAGTTTGGAGAAATTTCGCGAGGTTAGAATTTAAAAAACAAAAAAGGATACAAGACGAACCATTCTCAACTGTTCCAGATTTGCAGGAAGACTCTCCATCGATATGCCAGACTTATGTGGAGACGATGAAGATGATGTAGAACTAGTGGCACGTTCTCTATCAAATGGTAACTGTTGATTGAGTAAATGTGGCACTATCAATCCCTCAGGAATAGTGGGATCAGAAGAGCTTGCAGTACTATTTTGAGAACCCTGCGGAAGCTGAGGTTCTATTCCACATCGTGGAGGTATAGAAGGGATTGCCTGATGGGTAAACGTCATTAGAGGAAAAATTGTATTTAATTCATCTGCTGACATATTTCCCTTACTTCCATTTGAATTTTCGAGGTTCGCATGATCTTTCGGATGCTTGTCAAGTGAAGCTTTGCTCGATTCAGAGCAAGAGCTACTTCCTGCTTCTAGTAAGCAGAAGGGTGATTCTATGGCATGCTTTTCGGATGAAGGTAGTGATCTTAAAATTGCTGACGAAGATGTTGGAGAAGGTGGTCGAGAACAGTTTGAATGTTTTGGTTTCTTTGCAGTGTTGCTTAATATTTCTCTCGTTGCAAAATCTTCCTCGCCGGAAGCAGCAGTTCCAGTCATCGCTATCGGATGGTTTTGATCGACAGCTAAAGCGTGTAATTTGCATATTCTCGTGGAATAATCACTTGCTACTACTGAAACGAAAAGCTAATACCTTGGCAAACTATGGAATTGCCAAAATTTCGAATAAATGCATCTAAAATTGAAGTCGATAGACTCATTTCTTTACTGAAAACTGATCTAAACTATTTTTTCAGTTTTTAAAATCCTTCAAAAAATCTTTTGCATCACTGTTTTCAATTTTCGTTTGTCCATTACATTCTGGCATCATTCACAATTTTCAATTAAACTTGGTCTAAAATGAAAAATTTCCATGATAGGTAGTAAAAGATTGGAAACCTCCAGAATCTGAAGACTTTGCACCTGATGTAAGGTATGATGATTGATTTTGAGAACTATCATCACCAGAAGGTGAATGTCGAGGTGACGCTGTCGATGTTTCATGGCAAAATTCACCACTATCATCTGTAATTATAAAAATTAATGACGAAGATTTGTCGAAAATGCATATATTATTTATAAAAATTCACTATACGATAAATCATAATTTTAAAATTTGTAAAAACAAAAGTGTTAACGGAAATCTTGAAATCTCTGTACTAAAAGAAATTTATTTTGCATAAAAATAAAGCTAATTGATTTATGCGCAAATCAAATTCAAACAATGTTAATTAAATAGTTTTATAAGTGTTTGGAAATACAGTAATGCTATATATACGCAAATATTAACAAGTTATCTTATAGAAAGTCATTAAATTAAATTATAGATATTCAACTAACACAAAGGCAATTAATGAAAAAAATTGAACTGTGGAAGAATTGACGTATGAGCAAAATTTCACTACTTACCAGTATCAGTGGTTTGTCTCCGAGGGCCAGTTGTGAACCTGTGAATAGATGTCATACTTGGTAAATTTGATGGAATGTCCCGATTTTGACTTTGGATCTGTCGAATTGATAGAGAATCAGTTGAAGACATTTGATAAGTTTCTTGTGAGATTCGTTCTTCATTTTCTTTTTCGATTTCTTCAGAAGTGGAATCATTTTCGGAATCAGTTGCAACGCTTAGTGATGTTTGTATCTTTTCTCGCAGCCAAGAGGGAGTTATTCGAGCACGTGGAGACTCAATCATGCTATAAGCAATAATAAAATAAACTACAAATAGAAATAAATATTGATTATATCTAATTGGAGTAATTTTCAAAGATTCACATTGTCCCTTGTGATGAGCTATATTTATACTTCACCTGAAAGTTTCATTTTGTAGTTGTCGACGTTTGGCATTTGCAACAGAAAAAGTGGAATTTGAGGTCTGTGGTTTTGCATTATGTTGCCATGTAGTTTTCATATAATATGGAGGTGAGGAAGATTCTGGATTTTCTGCTGGCTTGACATATTCTGGGATCTCTTTATAAAACCAAGCTCCTGATTTCTTCCACATCTTTAAACAGCATTAAATTATACAATTTGAAGCCAACATTCAACTAATTTTAACTCCAGATCCTAATTTTTTGGCATAATTTAAAAACTGAATTTTTTCATCGAAAATGAATTTCAAATAATTTGCCAAATTTGAAAATTCAAAAAAAAAAGAGAATTAAAAAATTAAAAGGATTAGAAAGTATAAAAAGAATTACAAAGGCGACAAAAAAGCAGTACTTGGAAATAAATCAAAAAGGAGTAAAAATGACATTTAACAATGACAAAAATAGTGATAAAAGTGCTAACATAAAAATAGTAAAAATAAATGAATAAATGCAGTAAGTAATGGAAGCAATGCATGGATGAGCTTTGAAGTGAAATGAAATGAAAAATTGTTAGACAAAGTTACCGAAGCGTACATTGCAATACTTACTACCTCACGATACTCGCTACAGATTTTGCACAAAAAAATATGTTCTCTTCGAGCGCAATCGTAAGTTTCCACACCACAATTTTTCTGACAAACGTACTGCAATATTCATTCGATAAATGTTATTTACAAAACTTTAGGGCAATTTTTTAATATGGAAAAAAATGATTTATTATTTTAGAAGAATTTATTGCAATAAATAAAAAAAGTATATTTTACCAATACAGAACTTCACTAAAATTTACAAAAATGATTCAATCAATCATAACTTATAAACTTTTTAAATCAAATATATATTTGCTGTAATGATTAAACTTGAAGTCATCAAGAAGTTTCCTCAGAAAAAATCATTCCGTACCTTCCGACATTGCGAGCACAAAGCAGCATAACTCTTTGGAGCGAGTAGTCCGAAATCAGTGCAGCACAAGTAGCATTGAGTAACTCCATTACCTGTAGCTCGAGCTTTCATTTCTTCCAGACGACATATCATTCGACTGCAAGCAAAGTTTAATATTATGGAATGGAAGCCTGCTAATGTAATGCTGAAACAATTCATAATAATTGAATATGTTTAAAAGTTTTGAAGTATATTTAATTTTAAAAGCTAATCGAGTAGAAATTGTATTTAATATAAAAATTTGAAGAATGAATTATTTACTGATAATTAGCTTCTGAATGTAAATTGTCTCTAAGCAATTTCTTACAGTAAACTGTGAAACATTTTTGTTTCAAATCATTAGCAAATTTTATCTTGTAAAGGATCTAAGTCTATTAATAATATGAAGAGCAAAACCCGATTCGTTGTTGCTCACGCAACTTTCTTTCTTCTGCTCGAGCTAAAACTGCTCTGATTTGCTTCTTTTCAGAATCCGTGATAACATTGTTCTGTTTGATATTCGTTGGAGAACGAGCACTTGCCGTCCGAACACTCCAACCACTTTTTAATCTCAATTTTCGATTTACTTATTTCTGTTGAAGTTTACAAGTTCTATATGGAATTTTGCTAATTTGAAATCTAAATCCCTCGCAATATCATTTGTGTATCAAAAAGTTGAAGGAAAATCTTAGACCCTTCTTATTATTATTGAGACTTTTGCCAGTTCTCCCTTTTACGTAACGAAATGTAAACTCAGTGCTCTTGCATATTTAGTGGAAATGGAAAGTGTATTATGCATATTTTTCAGAAAGTTTTTTCTAGCGATAGTCATACTATTTTGCAACTAACTGATTTGAAAAATCATCTATATTTAGATTATTTGAAAGTCCACAATGTTAATTAAAAAATTGCTCAACTTTGAATTTCTGTCTGAAACAAAGCAACTAATCAATCAATCGACAATTAATAAATCAATCATTTAAACAAATCTTAAATGAAAACTGATTTCATTCTGTAAATTCAGTGCAAATGTGATGGATTACTTACTGAAGTATCAAAAATGTATTTGACTGATTGTACTGAACTTATGATATGCAATGATTATATGGAACTTACTGCGCCCTCAGTTGCAAATGACGATCACTTGGGCAGACCCATTTGTTCTGTGTACCGCCAATTTCCCAGTCGTTCATTAAGCCTTAAAAGTTAAAAATGTAAGAGTAAACGATAAAAGATAAAACAATCAATTACTGATTTCAAATATTTAAATTCCAGTCGTAGCAAGCCGAAGTGAACGAAGCAAGACACATTGTAAGAGTGTGCTACTTAATTCAGTCTGAGGCCTTCCAGTATTTTCCAGTTTTGGCTACAAAAAGTCATGCTAAATGCTTTGATATATTCTCAAAATGTATTTATCTGTTTGTAAAATATTATGCAAATTAGGTTAAAAAGACCTCATAACTCAAATTCGAAATTAATAATTATTGCATGCAAATTCTTTATATGAATTTATTTTGACATTAGAAATATTTTGTTACTTTTTCTTCTAATTAATACAGAAGCCAGTAAATTGAAAATGAATCAAAGCATTCATCACTGCTTTTTTATTTTTTAATGGCATTGCTATCTTAGCTCAATATCTATCTTTACTTTTGCCGGAAGGACTTATTTGTATAAAAATGAAAAAAAATAAGTTATTTTATCAAAATTAGCAATGATAACAAATATTATTATTAGTATTACTACCGTGATTTAATTTTATTTATAAGAATATAATTTGGTAACTGTATGATGGGCAGAAACGTGTGGTAATGACTGATTAAGAAAGTAAGTTATCATTAATTGCATTTTTATTTGATAAATGTGCAAAAACAATAACAAATAAAAATTGTGGTAGCATTGTTGTCGTAAAATAAGATTGTAAACAAAACAATTGGGTGGTAATTAATGTCAAGTAAATACTTTTAAATTATTACTCTTACTCTTAATTATTAATCACAACTAATTGCTTGATTCGCAATATAGTAGTATAGCTATAATTTGTAGTTTCCTTAGTGAAGAATATGGTATTTGATTTGCATTAGTTTTGCTTAAAACGAAAGTACAAATAATTCAAAGTGAATAAAAATTGAAAAATATACGCAAAAAAGATGATTGTTCAGCAAAAATAACATTACAAAAATATGCTGTAAATAAAATAATATTTATAAAACAAAATTAATTAATAAAATAAAAAGTAAAAGATTTCAGGCGTAAAAAACTATAATCGGATTAGTTTTTGAGCCTTAAATAGGGAAGAATCTGTATGTAAACTAATTTTTCTTATAAAATAACAGACGTTTTAAACTTTTAAGTTAGCATTTAGCACCTTAGAAATGTTCATAAATAATGCATTCACCAATACAATTCATAATAATAGTATAAAAATACTCTTAAATTTACATCAAGCACTTACTCAGTGACTACTGAAAAAAGTACTGAGAAGTACTAGAAGTACTGTACCAGGGATTTATTTCATTTTGTAATATTTTATGAGTTAGTACATAGTACTTAGTACTAACTCATAAAATAAAATAAAATAGAGTCATTGCAGACAAAGTCTGAGAACAAAAATTATTCAAGTGAAGTCTCTTCAGTAAAAGTGCCCTTGCCATTAATTTTTTAATGGTGTGCATGCAACATGCAAATTGCATGAAGACTTGCGACAAAATGTGTTTAGTTTGTTTCTGTCTTTTCTAGCCTTAGATCACAAATGAGTTCTGAAGACTATGTAGTCTGTCTGTTTAGTTTTAAAATGCATACAATTAATAGTTACGCAACTTATCAACTGCTTACTAGATCAACATCTACTTCATCTCATATGAGGGAGGCATTGCACTCGGAAATGCTATTAATATTAAATCATTTATTTCATAGCATCGAAATTGCCTTTACATATTTTATGTTATAATTACTAGCATAAATCGTTTTTTGAGTGTGATTATTTCTAAGGAATCTTTAATTTTGCAGATATTGTCGTTAGAGCCAAGTATTTATTTCCTTTCATTAAAATAATAATTCGTTAAATAAACTGCAGTCAGAAGGGATCAACAGAAGGATATTTGTTTGCCTTAGGCTGAATATAAGAACAACATGGATTAAAAATGAAAAATGACCTACACTGACTGCCCACTCAACCAATATACTAATACTATCCCGTTGAGACAAATACTATTTATCATTATTATTCCTGTGAGTGATTTCTTTTAACGCTGTCATTAAAGTAAAACTGATGTTGTTTTGGTAATTTGCTCTCTGCAAAAAACTTGTCTCTGAAATTCAAAGTGAGTATTTGTAATTTTAAGTTAAATAATTATCACTTTGCATTTGCTTCTGAATTTGTTTGTGTGCACAATTACTACTTGAAAATCCAAAAGTACAAGATCGGATGCAAAATAAAGCAAACCTTAAGCTGACTTACACGAGGAAATTTGTGCAAGAAACTACATAATAATTTCATACTTTACGAAATTCGCACGTTATTAGCAAGCAAAAAGAAAGTGTTATTATCAGAATAGCAGTTGTACAAGAACTGCTTAACTCGAAATAAGAAGCACTAAAGACTAAACTGATACTTTTGAAATTAATTTCAATAGCAATTAATTTAAATTTAATTTTTGTCACAACTATTCGACAATGCTGAGACTAAAAATAAGTGCTATAAAGAGTTTCTTTCAGCCTACTTATTATAATTTGAAATTATTTAAAAGCAAATAGACTCATTTATAGCTATCGCTCAACTATAAACTCCATCAATGGAAGTGTCATTGAGTTTAGAATAGCTTTAGGATAAAGAAAAAGACGCAAGCTCAACTATAAATAGATAAATAAATAAATAAATAAATGAAAAAATAAATAAATAAATAAATAAGTAAAATAAAATAAATAAACAATTAAAATATACATCAAAGCTAGTAGATAGGTCTTTCTTATCTTATCTTAATTCGTCTATTATGCATGTTAGTAAGGCAATTTCGTATTTTTTTCATTAAGAGAAAAATATTGCTAAATTTATTTGCTTCCTCTCCAGAATTACAACAAAAACAAGAAGACAACGATGGATAAGATTGGCATAACATCCAAATTGAGCTAATTAGATAAGCAAAGTGCGAAAGCAAAGAGACAATGCAAAAAATGTGCTCATAAAATATTATGCAGAAAGCTGAAGAAAAACTAAAAAGCATTGAGTGCATTAAGAGAGACTTGAAGGTGTTGGAAGGTTAAAAGTGTATAAATAGAGTAATAGTGATATAAATACATGAACATGTAGAGCAAAGTAAATGAATAATTTGACAAGACTGGATGAGCTATAAAAATGATCGATACGGGATTAAACAAGAGACTAGTAGCAAGTGTCAAGCCTAAGAGGCCTAAGGCTTATTTGATTGAATAATTTTTGCTCTCACTAATAAACTTGCTTAAAATTGTATTAAATTTTTTATGAACTCTTCGAGTTGAAGAAAAATAAAAAGAAGCTGAATGGAAAGAAAGAAACATTCGCTGAAACAAGCAGAATTGAGAAGTATCGCAAATTGTGAGAGTTAGAAATATAAATAAGCACAAATGGCCTTTGCAGTCAGTCAGTCCTTCTCACGCAATAATGAAAATTAAGATGGCAAAATTGTAAATGCTTGCATCAGAATGATAAGAAAAGCAAATGAAATTGCATGGAAATGAGTAATTCAATGAAATTCTTTAATTAATCAAAGTAATTAACTATGTATATTTTTAGGAAATAATCTCAATTTCAATCAAATTATTTGCACTGAAAGCTAAAAAAAGAATTAAGAGCAGCGCTTGAATTTGGTTAAAGATAATTTCCTTTGACCTTTATCTATCTATCTATCTATCTATTCACAGTAAAAATGAATCAATTCTGAATTCACACCAAAAACTACAAAATGTTTGCTGCATACAAAACTACAGCTTAAATATGGATAGCAAGAAAAGTAATAAAAGGAATGTAAAATAGTAATATAAGATACATTATAAAGTCTAAAGAGAAAAAAGACTAAATATTGAAAAGTTTTGAATTAGCAAAATGCTTAGAAGAAAAATACACTGCAAATAAAGCGCTTATTAAATGCAATGAGAAGTGACAAAATTATGAATCTCAGAAATAAGCGCAATTGTCTTTTTTGAATTACTGTGTGAGATACGAAAGGAATGCAAATCCAAGCAATAAACTCATGGAAATGATTTACTTTTTATGCTTTCTTAAGCAACTTTTAGACAAAAATATCTTTGAGCACAATTTCATCGATATAATATATTCATGAAAAAATACTGCTCTCAGTTAGCCTTGAAACGATGAAAAAGTCTGCGAAAAAATTCCTTTCAATTATCATCTATGCAGCCTATATGCTCACCAGAAACCAATTTTTTTACAATCAAAAAAATTTTAACTCTATTTTCTAGTTAAATCGATATATTTAATTCTAAAATGTATTCGTTTATTATTGAATTAATGGCTCAAAAGTGAAAATGTTTCTCATTTATGGAATTTTTCGTTTTTGGCTAATTAGATTTGATACTAATCACAGTTAAGTTTAATCTCTGATTGCATTTTCATTCCGTTAGCAATTTGCAAAAAACACATTCTGCGTGCCATTTACAATAATCACAAAGCCTACAATTTTCTTCATATCTAGAAAAAATCTATTTCTATTCTTGTTCTGTCTTACGAACTGTATCATTGCTCTCACTTTGAACTTCATATTCTGTGTTTATTTTGCCATTCAGCTCGTTTGTCTTCCATTTTTTTGTTCACATCTGAACACTTTTCTTTAATTTTTCATATTCTGACGAGATCAAAATTTTCTGAATTATATTGTCCAACGCAGTTAGATTGTGTTCATAGTGATCAATCGTGAAGTATGAAAATATAAAACTTCAAAAATCAGCTGCTAAAAGCCTAATGAAGTTATCCTTTTAGGTCATTATCATTAACTTTATTTACATTTAGTTCCCAACAATATTACAGAATTTTTATGTTTTCATATCTTTTTTTCCATTTTCCTTGTGCATTTAGAGAAATGTAATTATATATTATATATTTATATGTATAAAGTGATAAAAAAGTAGAATACATATATAAAGTGATGAGAGGAACAATTTGCAGCTTTTTATGACACATTTGATTAATTATACTTTT